TTACACTTGACAGATGGTAAAAACTGACTAATCTTCTTCAGCGGCTTGTAGAATGTATTAATTGAAGCCTGCTTTAAGATATAGCCAATCTTGTCGGTGACTCCTCTGACGTATGGTAGAACAGCAGGTACTCGCTCCACTGTGGCTGGTTACAGTTTTTTTGTGTGTGGGTGGTTACTGACTTACAGTGTTATTTGGATTGCGAACTCTTTAACTGTTAACTCAGTAAATTCCAAAATAAAATTCACTATGGAATTAGAGCATAATAACTCTTTAGCTTTCTTAGATGTTTTGGTCATCCGCAATCCAAATAACACTGTAAGTCACACTGTGTATAGGAAGGCAACCCATACAAATAGATACCTAAACGGTGATTCTCACCACCATCCATCCCAGTTAGCTACCGTGGGTAAATCTTTGTTTCAGAGAGCACAAGGGATCTGTGACAAACAACACCTGGCCGCTGAGCTTCAACATGTCAAGCAAGTTCTGCATGACAACAAGCTTCGAGTACCTGCTGTTCTACCATACGTCAGAGGAGTCACCGACAAGATTGGCTATATCTTAAAGCAGGCTTCAATTAATACATTCTACAAGCCGCTGATGAAGATTAGTCAGTTTTTTTACCATCTGTCAAGTGTAATATCCCTCTGCAAGATCCAGGAGTGTACAAACTTGACTGTGAATGTGGGCTCTCTTACATAGGTCAAAGGAAAAGAGCAATAAAAACCCGCGTGAAAGAACATATAGCTGACATAAAACACAATAGATTGAACAAGTCTGCAGTTTGTGAACACATTTTGAATAGGCCCAACCACTACATCAGGTTTGACAAACCACAGATCCTTGCAAAAGAACACCGATTCCTCCCAAGGATGATTCGCGAGGCTATTGAAATTAAAAAACACCCTAATTTCAATAGAGAAGAAGGTTGGGTACTACCATCAGCTTGGGATCCTGTCATCAATAAAATTAAATCTAGGCCCAAACGAACCACTAATGCAAGACAAGATACAATTAGCTCCCTCTGCATAGATCGGACACAAAATTAATAATTCAAAAACTGACGGTAGCCCGGGTTAAATATGACAATCAGACGTCTAACACCTCAGTCTGTCCCGTGACCATGAACGCTGTAAAGGGTTCGAAACGTCGTGAATTAAAATTAAAAATAAACGCGATAAATCCGTAAAATTAGTTTCATTTATAATGGCTACATTGACGCCCACATTTGGTGAGGAAAATTGTGACAAAAATTGTATGGGACTTTCCTTGCTAATGTTTCTGTTAGTGATTTTATTTACTACTTTCCATAATTTCATATTATTTGAACCTGCGTTTTTTATTTCATTACTTTCATATTCATTCTTTATTTTTTTCAAGAGGTTATTGCAAAAGTTTCGATATCTAGTAAAGGTTAATTTTAGGACTTCGTTATCTGGTGATTTTTTGATTTTTTTATGTAAGTTATCCCTATGTTTTATGCATGTATGCTTTATTAAAAAGTGCGGGGGTTATTCCGCGCGCGCGTTACGTTTTCAAAAAAAATTTTTCGTACCGCAGTCAAGATTACTTCACACAAAAAACAATTAAATTGAAACTAGCCGCTATCTTCTTTCAGCTTTATGAATATCACGAGACTAGCCGGACCATGCATACGAAATAAAAGCATATTTACGATTTTTTTACATTTAAAAATTTTAACATTTTTACGGTGATATGGCCATGCAACAGTGCACGAATGGGCAGGTCCGTCCGGGTAAGTACCACGACCTCACAGAAGAGCGGCGTAAAGTAGAAGTGTTACACTTGTGCGTGAGGTAGCCGGTGCCCACTTTATTTAAAGGTGGCAACGCATTTGCAACCCTACAGGTGTTGCAAAAGTCTATGGGCGGCGGTTATCACTTAACAACAGCTGAACCAGCTCGTCTGCTTTTCTCACATAAAAAAATATACGGATACGGAAATATACAGATACGGAAGAATATATGGGAGAACAGCAAAGTGATTTGATTCAGAAGTCCACCATGTCGCGGTTCCGATCGCAAAACGGGAAAGAACTTGTAAGCTCCACATATTGTACCGGTTTGTGACCGTGATTTTTCATCTTTCCGAACACAGATCGACATTGTATTACTTTTCTAGTACGAGAGGTGTTTTAAGTACAATTTAAAAACTTATTAAACAAATTAAAAAAAACGTGTTTTGATTGTGTTCCACAACATTGCATCAATTGCTCGGCACTGTTGAATCAGATACGGTAGAACTTCCTCGAGCCGAGTTTTAACAGTCTTGAATGCTCAATTCAAGTCCGAATTATGAAAGTTAGCAGGCCGCTCTACCTAGCCGTGTTTGTTTAACTATCGCGGAACTTTCCGACGGGGTAATTTGGACCTACACTCTCGGCAAAGTTCAACCCCAGTTAGTATTACGAAGGTATGCTCTGAACAAACTATTTCTGAGACTCCAACGAATCAAAAATATTGCAACACTCCATTGGGAGCGGTATCACTTACCATCTGATTACACCTTATCTCGTTTGTCTCCTTTTACTTACATAGGTAGACTTTACAGCATTACGACTTGTTAAATCAATCTCCAGCCTACAATGGCTGAACTGATTTAAATATGGCTATCACTTAACCAAACAGTTATCTTTAATGGATCGCAATATAAAGGTTAAATCATTTCAATATGTGTACTTTACGTAATCGTAGAACCATAGCTGATTTGTCTTTTCTACATAAAGTGCTTAATGGTAACGTTGTATGCCCCTCAATACTTGAGAAAGTAAGCCTCGTAGTCCCCTACAAATATCCTACATCTCGTATTACCATACTATTTTACATTCCCCCGTATCGCACCAATATAGGACTGCATAAGTCATTTTCAAGAATTTTGTCTGAATACAACTATTTGTCTGTATCAAACCCCGAGCTGGATATTTTTAACGATTCACTTAGCGTTTTAAAAAAGAAATTGTTTTCAATTCAAATATGAATTTACTAATCTGTAACCATATTCGATGTCTTTTGAAAGATATAATTTAGTTTACTGATAATTTATCTTAGTGTCCACTTCCTCTTTTTTTTAATGTTAGTTTATAAGTGCGATTAACTCTTTTTAACAATGTTGTATACCTGTAATAGGCATGTATATAAGAATTGGCCCTATAGCAAAGAACACATAAATTATACTATATCTTGAAGAACTTATACATAACACACGGGAACAATAAATCGTGTATCTTCAGAATTTACCTCCATAAAGAAAGTATGTTTTTAATGTTGGTATTTATGGTGACATTCTTATTTGAAAGTCGTATACTGCAGACGCGTAAATAAATGTTTATTATCTTATTAAAGTAAATCATTCACAGTAACCCCCAATGCACATTATATATATTGTCGGTGAAAAACATGTAGGTGATCTATGATTGGGAATAGGGGTGCAAATATTAAAGCCTAAATAACACGAAGAGTGTCTTGTCAAATTTTCTCTTTAATTTTGTCCTTTTAGACAAATTCTTATTCAATGAAATTTAATAATACAATATATTACAGTATAGAGCATAATCATTAAAACACAAGTCTTATTTACTATCATCAGGATTTTACAAATGTACCTTTATAATCAGTCGAAAGCTTTATCAAAGTTCTTTTTCATAAAATAAATGAAAAGAACGAAATATATAACAATCGCAACACGACATCGCTCAAATATTGCACTTCTCAAATTCTTAACAAAATAAATACTTTACACATGTTTTACGACAGAATCGTAATCGACTTAAAAACTACTGATATTCAATTGCATTCGTCCCGTACATATTTACAAGATAATGAAATATTTAATCTCATTGACATAGATCACAATTCATCATCATCCTCCAGCCCTTATCCCACCTAGGTGGGGTCGGCAGAACATGTGAATCACGTTGTAAGCGGTTTCGGCTATGTTTTATACGACCAGTCCGATGCCTGACGTCAGCCCTTCTTGGGATACAAACACCCAGATGGGGAACAATTATCCGGAACAATTACAAATACTTTTCCCGTGTGGGATTTGGACCCACGAGCACGCCGAGCAACGGCATCAACGAGTCATCAAAATTATAAATTTAATATCTTTATATAATTAAAGTAGTCATCAAAATAGGATCTAAGCTCCGCTTACAAAACCACTAGATTTATAATCATAGTGAGACCTGGAGATCTTAAATCTATCTCAGGTCATTTTGCCTCGTCTCAAGGTTGTCTGGAAGAGATCGCTTTTTAGCGATACGACCGCCTTATTGTACCTAGTTTTCAAGACTTATTTCTTATTGTATTAAATTCTTTGTTGTGTACAATAAAGTATATAATAATGGTAAAGTATATAATAAATCAAATATTTCTTTTGAACAATAATAATAATATTCTTACACTTAAGCTACGGTAATGCATTCTTAATACATTCTTTCTGGCTTCATGTCTGGT